GTCAGGGAGCAACAGGGGGGTTGTCTGCTGTGTGTGTGTGTGTGTGTGTGTGTGTGTGTGTGTGTGTCTAAGTAATGTTCATAATCAAATGATGACGGAACTGAGGAAGGTAAAAGGCATAACATGGAGGGGAATAAGATTTGAGGGAACACCCCCCTCCCCTCCTCTGAAATAAATAAATGCAGATTGAGGATCATATTAATCTGGGCCGAGCATAAATACATAAGAAACACACATAAAAAGAGGCCTATAATTTTATTAATTAATGCATCAATCACTGAAATCCCAGTGTGTTTTCCAAGCTGTCTGGAAGTAGTCACTAAAAAAATGAGTTCTGTCTATGCTTAATTGTCCACCAGCCCCATCTGTCTCTCTGCTTGGCTTCATCACTCCACACACCCACGAGCTCATCTCTTCCTTTTCACCCACAAGATACCAATCAGGCTTGTTATAATAAACCTTCAACAATGCTGGTTAAAGAGGAATTTCATTTTAAGAATAAACTTTGGTCATTACCTAGAGGTGTAACCAGGGCCTAAAAAGGTCAAAATCCCACAAGAATCTAGCTTTTCTCTGTAGACAGTGAATGAGTGGGGCATTGGATTTAAGCTCACCCTAACCCTTTATCTGTGAGACTTGTGTGAGTTCTTCCAAATGGATTTTCAGTGTGAGAATACAAGCTTTATTTTACTGCAACCTCCAACAAGTCAGTGCACAGTCTGGATAATTGTTGTCTCACTTTGTGTGTGAACTGAATGCTATGCCAACTTGTGTGTTGCAAGTAGAAGGTAACGTCATGAACATGCGCAGAGGTGTATTTCTTGATCTACAGGTTTTCCTATTTTGTGTCACATTAATCACCAAAGCCTGGATGACCTGCTGGATGACCAGCAGTGTGCTCTGTTGGTTCCGAGCCACCACATCCATTAGATCTAAATGAATCTTTGTTACAAGAGTCACACTGACGTCAGGGTGTATTTGTGTGTTTACACTGAACTGACCCACAGTCAGATGTGACACTTGACCTCAGAGGGGCAGCAGGAACGTCCCTCCTCTGTCATTGTTTACTTCCTGTCAAAGCAACACGACAGGGAAAGCTTGTTTGCCCGTTTTTTGTGTTTTTTTTAAAAAGAGGATCCAGTCTGTCTCTCAACAAGAGATAATGTTGTACAGAGAATGGTGACTGAGACGAGTAAGCCCACTTTCACCCTCATTAATCATGGCTCTCTTGCTTATGCCACTTAGGTGTGCTTGAGCAGTGAACAGAAACTCGTAGTCCAGAAGCTTTCATTCAGCAGTGTTTCTGACACACACACACACACACACACACACAATACACACAGTTAATACTGTGAGGTGTGGCAAAAGTGCTGAACTCCAGACCAGACAGAGGAAGTATCCCTTTAATGATTAGGATTTGAATTCTTGATATTCTATGCTTGTTTGGTAGGTGATTATATTCTTTAAGTTTTCTTACCTTGAGAGACAATGAAAGAGGAGATAAGGAGGAAGTAGATCTGGGGAAACAAAAGGATAGAAGATTTTTCCATTCAGATTTCGAACCTTCTGTATTTTTAATCTTGGTTTAGGGGGATGATGTTGGCCACCTGCCGTTATCATCTGTGAAAATACAATAGCTGTATTCCAGCAATGCAGATTTTTTAATAAAATCAAAGTCCTTTGATTTGCTTTCAGCCTGAAGACTGTACGTACTGGCTGGTAGATTGGCTCCATAATGTGGAGCTCATTTCATTTATGTTGGGAAAAGTTTTTGTATTCATGTCCCTTTGTTTAACTAAAACATAATAGCTATAGATTAGAGTCCCTTCAGAGTCCCTGTACATGTCTTTTCTTTTATCTCTGTTTTTTGGTTTCATATAAGGTATTTAATTATCGGTCAAACTTTAGATTTTTGACACAGTGGCTGGGCCATACAACTGTCAACTATACTTGCATCAACACTAAGCTTTCATTTTCAAAAGTTATACATAGAAATGATCAAGTACAATTTTTGCACATGGATCAGTCTCTCCAGGTCTGGGCAGGAACATGCTCTCTCTGCTTTCATGTTCTGCTCTCTCATGTTATGTAATTATAATATGATCTATATGAAAATAATGGATAATGCAGAAGCAAACAATGGTGTGGGACATCCTCATTAATTATTTTCTATATCAATACACCTCTGAGTGTATTACTGCACTTACTCATGCCATTGCCGCCTACCACCTGAGAGACTGTGGTCCCTTTTTGTTTTCTTTTTTAAGTTTGTTTCTAGTCAGCTGAACCCGGGGTTAAGTCTGTTTCAGCAGAGTAGGTTAGCAATTGAGGTAAATACACCTACTGTTGCTATCATTTTGGGCTCCAACTAACAAATAATTTCTTATTTTTTCTTTTGATTAGTTTAAAGTCTATAAATCATCCGAAAATGTTGAAAAATCTACAACGATTTTGTTAAACCAACAGTCCAAACCCATAAAAATATTCAATTATAAAAAACCTTAAAACAATGGATGGATTTCCAGAATAGCTGACTATTCATTTTCTTATTAGTTATTGATACAGATATATAAATGAAACTGTTAATTTCCTGGTATACATTTTCAACAGCCACCTGGCAGCCAATCAAAAACAAGTATTTCCATTGCTATGTCATAACTGATGAGTAATGCGAACACAAATATATGCCCAAACTTCCAACATGATTAAGAATTATAAATCTTTTATTGTGCATGGATCCTTTGTAGATATCATGGCTATACAGATACACTTTTGATACATATCTATGATTATACATTTTTCCCATAACGAACATTTTAAAGTGATATGTCTGGTAGTATGTATAGTATAACAAATTTTCATTTTGGAATGTACGGTGTATGAGGTAACTGCAAACATTAAAATTACATAAAAATGGTCTCTATTTTTGTGCATATTTTACTCATTTTTGTAGCATTTTGTTAATCTCTCCAACCAAAGGTAGTAAGCCCTGGGTGAAGAGGTGTTAAAATGGCACACGTTGCAATCGCTATCAAAAATAGGAATTTGAATTCTTTAAATGACAAAGAGAAGACATTTGCAGAATGTCTGAAAGACCAAATCATGTAATTATCCAAGACGTTTTGCAAGGTACCTGTATTTCATTTTTATGGTTGCAACAGCAATTATCTGCCCAAAACCAAACAACACTAGACCCTACAGCCAGATTACAACTGAAAACTCAGCACTGGCAATCTGTTACAAATACTTAACACACAGAGAAAAGGCAAATTTAGATTCACAGGAAGTACATGATATAACACATTTTTGTATCTGCCATTTGCGTTCCATGATTCATGAGTACTCAGGATTTATTATTTTCTCTGGAGAGTATTAACTTATATTACTTCAATATTATAAAAAAATATACTTCACACATGTTTGACTTGACAAAAGAAATCAAAAGAAATCATAAGTAATACATAGAACTACTTTCCATTTCTCTCCTGATTACGTAGGTTTACTAACATCAAATAAATGTTGCAAAAATAAAAGTAAATAAAACACATTTTAGTGTTTTCTAACACTAAAAGAAAAACATAGAAACTTAAGAGAAATTAAGAAAATTCTCCCGAGATTTTTTTCCTCTCCAATTAAGGCCTCTGAAACAACTGGTACATACTTTTTTTTCCTCCGTTTTTTTCTTGCTGAGATAGATCAGCTGTTTCAGTGACACATTATGTGGTACTACAACTTTTAAAACACCCAAAACACAAGTAGGGCTTGCACAATCTCAAAGTGTGTTCTATAAAATGCATCACAAGACCAAGACGCAGTCAGTCAAGGTTTCCTTTCACTAAGGTGCAAAATCAATTACTGGGGAAAAACAAAAAACAAAATAAAACAAAACATACAAGTAAGCATACATTTTTTGTGCTGAACAACAATATTTCGGAGTAAAGCAGCAGTATAACTATATGATAGTAAAAATAATTAGAATTCACTGTTAGTTTGGTTTTTGTTTGTTTTCTAATCATACTGAGCATTTTTTTTCCCTCAAACTTACAGGTCCTTGTGTCTTTACTGTACAAAAATATACTAACATTTCTCCAGTCATTTTTGCATCCTTAAACATTCTGAACATCAAAAAGATTGGAAAGTGCTAAATGAACGTTCTATATTGTGAACAAGATTTTCATTTCTGTTTCTTCTCTCACTAGACCCCTTAAACTCCAGCAGGGGGTTAAGTCCCTTCATCTGGCCCTGAAGCCCTCCCAGCCGTGTACCTCTGTGGCACTAACTACGTACAGTATACACATCTGGACACACACACCCCACTGTGCAAACACTGGCCCACCAGGTCCCAGGATCAAATAGCACATAGGCTAATGACACACCTACATACTATTTTTGGAACACATCTATCAAAAACAGTTTCATACTGGACACATTAATGGAAATATAAATAATGACTATTTCTATACACACACACACATATATATATATATATATATATACACACATATATAAATATATATATATATATATATTTAGTCAACAAGAACATGAGTCGAAGCGCCCCTTCCCTCCCGACCCTCTCCCCAAAATAAACCATATCCCTGCTCATTCTGAGTTTCTTTTGCGCAGGAAGCTGATCATGAAGGAACAGAATTCTGAACTGAACAACAGATACCACAGGGTGACAAAGGCAGGATAGTCAGGAAGGTATAACACGTGCTGAATAAGGTGTTACATCCTTCATTTTAACTGCTATTCAGCTCTCACTCAAAAGCCTTCCTTCCTGCTCGTAACGGGATTACTCTGTTGACAACAGAAAACAGTAAGTACAAAACAAAGAATACAAAACAACAGAGAAAGGGGGAAAGAATAAAGCTATAACCCTGCAACTGGGTGCGCAAACTGCTCATTTAATAACAAAGTACTGGATGACAAAAGCAATGAGAATGGCAATGACGGCGAAAACCATGAGGAGGAGGAACGCGCACTGCTCGTCCGTCAGGCTTCGTCTGGCTCGGTTGGACTCTGTGCCGGCCCTGGATCCCGAGCCAGTCGCACCGCCGCCCACCGCCATGTCGTTCCGCTGGGGGGAGAGGGTCACTGTGGTGCTGTAGGGGCCGCTCAGCTCAGGGGCGTCCTGGCACTGCCTGATAGCGCACACACGGAAACGGTAGTCGCTGTTGGGCTGGAGGTTCTGAACATGGAAGGATGTGGCAGAGCCTTTGTACGCCTTCAAACGGGAAGGAAGAGGAGAAGAAATGATTAAAAACGGAGAATAAGAGTGAAAAATTACGTTTTGTATTTTGCTATGGAGTGCGATATTGTGAAATTTTTTCTTAAGTGCACACAAATTACTTATGACAATATTGGTGGAATTAAATTAGTGAATTGAATTGAACCAACTGGATGAAGTATTCCGTTAGTGTCAGGCATTATGGAAAAAAACTGTCCCTCATTCAGCTTTCACCAACTATTTGCAGTTATGCTGTTTGTTGCCTTGGATGCAGGGGGAAGCCATCTGCCTTAGCTGTTTGCACAGCTGACGCTGAACCTGGTCTGTTTGATTGGTAGAGTGACACTTTCTTGAACTTGAATCTAAAACTGCCTAAAACTGAATTCATTACATTCAGTTATTCTTATAGATTGCAATGTCATAAACAAAGAAACAATTGGAGACAACTACCGGAGGAGGCTACAAGCAGTTTTTGTAGTAAACTAGCAAAAGTCTAAAAATGATTTATCCACAAGCCAAATTACACTAGTTGTGTTGGTGCAAAGAAACTCCTATCCACAGAAAAGGAAAAATTCCCTGATATTAAACATGGGCTTTTTGAGTCTAGGCCACTGAGACTGACAACAAACATCAAACTCATGTGGGGTGGCAGCCACATATTTCAACTCCCTGATCCAATTGCCATGTATGATGTGGCAAGATTAGCATAAGCCTGCAGAGGCCATTACTCCACGTTAACAGGTCTGGAGGCCAGCGAGAGGGATGAATGTGCTTGGCAGGGGCTAGACACCTGGGATACCTCATTGATCAATGACCTTTGCATAATGGGCAATTTAAAGCCAGCAGTGACTAACACAGCATGCTGCAAAGCCACTGTGAAAACATTAAGGCCCCCGGATCCATCTGTATCTTGATCTGCATAAAAAGGCCACTGTGATGAATGGCAGGTCAGCTGAAGGTAAGGACACAAATACAAGAGGGAGCAACCGAACCTTCACACAACAGCGTCCGTACCTGTTTAAACTCAGAGTTTCCCATCATGCACTGCAAGGTGTAGATGATCGGGTCCCCCTTCATGGGCAGCAGGGCCTCCCATGTGACTTCGCAGGAGTTGTCATCCAGACGCTCCACTTTAGGGGCTGGGGGGGGAGCGAGTGCAGATGTAATGAAAGGTACACTGAAGGAACGTCTGCCACCAGATATCAAATTTAAAATCAATCACATCGATCAACCTGACATCGCTGCCATTGAGATGTGTCAAACACTACTAGCACAACACTATTTGGTTTGAACTCATGCAGTGTAATCTATCAAAACAATCCTCGGGGTTAGAATTTATAACAAAAACACATTTGCTAAAACTGGTTGTAACTTAAATTCTTGAATATTAAACAAAAACAAAATAGAAGAAACTTCCAACATTTCATATCTGCTGTGAACGTTCTGTTTGAATCAGTTTGGAGGACTTTTCTTAAAGTGGGGTGGTTACAGAACCCTTTTGCTTTACTACAAGAGAAATTGCTTTAATGAATGTACAATGACTCAGCTAATGAATTGAGAATTAATTCTAGACTACATGTAACCTTAGTTCTTCAGTATAGTGCCATAACTATGAGTCATGCTCTTCTTAAGATAGGTAGCATTTTAAGCAAAATTAAAATAAGCAATAAAATAATGTTAGCCTTTAAATGGATAGTCTGAATTCAAACAGTTAACGGTTGAGAGTCCACTTCACTGTGTGGGGAGACAAACACTGTTGAGTAACACTGACAAACTGGCACATGCCGGATTCAAAAGAGGTGCCGCACTGAGAATAAAACCCACGTCCTCATTACTGACTTCAACATGTAGGATCAAAAGAGGCTTTGCAGAGGCTGTTTGAGACAAGACCACAGCGCTGAACAACCTGACTCATGATGACAGTCGACAAGTGAATCTCGGGCTACTGGATCTTGATCAAATGCAAGTCAAACTTGGGTCAACTGAGGTTAAAAGCTGAGCACAGACTGGCTGCCTGTATGTCAGCAGTGAGTGTTTGTAAAGATAATAAGAGCTGATCCACATTGGGGAGATAGAGAGACAGAGAGCGAGAGAGAGAGTGAAGGAGGAAGAGGAAGATGGTGTGTGTCCTGTCGGTGGCTGCCGGTGTGTGCTGGGCTGGGCTCAACGTGAAGATGCAGCCATGGGGGATCCAGGAGGCTCCACTCCTTTGTGCAGTAAGGAGCTTCGGCCACGCTTTTAATCTATGAGAAGAGGGGGGTGGTGGGGCGGGTCATGAACCACTGCCAGACCTCCGGATATGTGCCTCTGTGCGTGTCTTCGTCAAGCTGTGTTGCTTGTCTGTCTTGTCTATGTCTGTCTGTACTGTGGTTTTATGTGTGCGGTTGATACAGGCTTTAAACACAGTGGGCTCTGTCACTATAGTATGTTAGTTCTACGAAAAAGTTCAGTGTGTATTTCTTTTACTCCCTTCTCTGACTTTTTTTCTGACTTTCTCTAGAGAGGGAGGGAGAAGCAGTGCTCTAGTGTCTTGTCAACGTCACATCACCGGACTGGGCAGTCGGTGTGTGTGTGTGTTTTTGCTTGTTTGCTAGCCTCTCAATGGCACTGTGTGTTGTTCAGACAGTAGTCATTGTTGATTCCATTATTAATTGTGTGCTGGGTTCATTCGGAGTGCACTGGGTAACTGGGAGGTTACAGGCAGGACAACTCAAGAGGTGTTGGGAATGTTATTCACTCTTTCATGCCTGACTTGCCGCTGTGTGTCCACTCAAACACATGCACATTACACACGCACACAAACTCTCAGGAGGGAACATGATATTTTTATAGCTCTCTCAGCCTCTGGGGTGAACTTGGATATAACTCCTACTTATCTAATTGTGCTATTGATATACTATTAGTAAGCATCTTTTTATTTCTGTGTGTTTTTGTCTTAGAAGTGCTTGTTAAGCTGAAAATTTACTTTGATTGTTGATTTAAGGAGGATTCTAAAAAATCCCCACCGTGTGTGTGTGTGTGTGTGTTTTGGTTTAACAGTTAATACCTATAACACACACAATACGCTAGGCTGAACTTACTCTGTCCTCTGAGCCACCCTTAATTTTTGTGTGTGTATGTGTGTGTGTGTTTTGCTCAAGCACGTAAGGCTATCACACGCCTTGCATTTGGCATTTAGGGATTCCACTGACAGAGGGGCTGTCAACAGGGTGTCGCCTTTCAACACGCATACACACACACACACACACACACACACACACAGGAAGGAAAGGGACAGCCGTCTCAACCCTCCTCACCTTCTCTCCCTCTCCAACCACCACATAGCTCTTGAAAGCCAGAAAGAGACATGGCACACATAAGAATCACCCTTTTCGCTGCTGAAGACTTTTCTTTTGGGATAGAACTGAACGCTCTGTAAGTCTAAAAACACTTAACTCAAGAAATCCCCAAATTCATTAAAAACTCATCTACATTCAGGAATATCCAGCTGGCAGCTTCTTGATTCAAGAAGGGTCTTAGTAGCACCTCTGGCAGCATTAATTGGATCAAAACTCAGTATCTTTTTCTTAAGTGATAGTTGCGTGAGGGAGCCATTGAGTTGCTAATTTGTTAAACTGGATGTGTTTACGCTGAATTTGTTAACATACACAGCACTATAATATACTGCCACCAAGAAATAAAGTCACCCTGGTAGTTCCGGAGCATGCTTGGAGGAGCTGTTGTGTAAACTGTGACCATGGATCTCTGGCAGACACGCAGCCAGACGGGAGCTCTTTGAGCAAGGGAAGGGGTGACCCGCCCTCCTAACCTCTCACCTCTGACCCTAAGCCCCTCTGCCCCTCACACCACCAATTCCCATCCGCCCCAGCTGTCACAAACAGATACTCAGCACCACACTTTGCCTTGACTATCTCTATGTCCAAAGAAAGAGCTATTCGCCTTACTATGTTCTCATTTGTCTGCATTCGTCTTTCTATGTCTTAAGTTTTCCTTTGGTTCTTTCATCTCAATGCAATATTGCTTATTAATACTTTCTCATTCTCCTCCCTTCTGTCCATTGGTAGGCATGAGCCATGAGCCAAAGTCACCATCGTTAGGAATGATCTCCACGGCGACCCGTACCACGGCGACGGTCAGCCCACTCACCCCGTCGCCTCTCAACGGCTCCATCGTAGCCAATGGAAGCCCAGCCACCCAGTCTGCTCACTCTGGATTTGCTGCAGCCCTCCGTAAACTGGCCAAACAGGCTGAAGAACCTCGAGGTAAAGCCACACAGCCTGGACTACAGGGATGTGACACTCATGACGCTGTCAACTTTTAAGTATGACAGCATTTTTTGGCTGTATAATTCATGAAGAAAATGGTGACAATCCATCTCTTTGCGCTACTTGTCAAGTGTGAATTTATAATCAGATGAAAACAGGTTGTGTAAACATCTCGTTTTTGTTTGACAATGGAACTGAGTGTTTATTTTAACGTTATTAAAACATCTTGAAAGGTTTAAAAGTTGACTTACCACTGATGGTTTGCCGTTGGGTTTCATATTCTCTCAACATGGTTTAGTCGTTATGTCTGACTGCAAAATATTTCCTAGTACCGTATCGTGTATCAAACCATAGTAAGAGCTAAATGTATTGTTACATCCAGCTCCCTAACCCTTACCTGTAAACCTAATGGATTAGGTGTTCTGTACGTCCTGTATCCTGTATGTGTGTGGTTGTCTTTTTGGTCTTTGTGTGTGTGGCCAGTTTGTGTAGCTGATTGCAGAACTGCTAATAGTAATGGGATAATATCCACACAGAATTGAATTAGTTGCTCTCCCTGGAGATACTGGGATGAAGAGGAGCCACTCTAGCTGACCCACTTAATGTGCTGTGTGTGAGTGCACGTACACTTTGGTGTGCTTGTCAATGTGTGTATGATAGTGTTATAATTCCCCTTCATACAATCATCCTTGTCACACACATGAAACGTGCCATAGAATTCATCTCTTCGGGCTCTATCCTGTGGTTGTATGAGTATTAAATGCGCATCAGGTGGTTGAATTGCTGGTTATCAACTCATACAACCATATGTCAGAAATTCTAAACTGTCCCTTCAAGTCTGAAACAAGCTTGTTTAAAGATTCATGCAAATGTCGTTTTCTGTAAATGCTCAAGGAGGGCTTTGTGGGTTTCTGGTTTCTTCTTTATTTCCTGTGTGTTTGGTAAATGCAAACCTGGTCTTTAATACACATTTGAATGCAAGTAGTTTCCAAACCCATGTGCCCAGTGTTCCTTAATTATACTAGGTAAAACATACAAACAATCGCTCAAAGCAGAATTCACACAGCAGAGCACATCAGTAGCAAGATTCTCATTGTGGAGTTTATTAAGAGTGTGTACATTTGTGTGTCCATATATGTGTGTGGCTCTATGCCTTGGCTCCACAGAGAGGCCCAGCTACCCCAGCTGTCCACCCTTGCTCTGGCTCTTAAATCAGATGGTCCCCTCCTTCCTGGCTGTCCCTGGATACCTTGCTCCCCAGCCCACTGCAACCTGGGTCCCAGAACCCTGCAAATGATTTATTACCCACACACAGAGAGAGAGCACTCTGCTCCAACCTCTCCTCACCTCCCTCTCAATCCTTCTCCCCTTCATCTCTTTTCACTCCCTCAACCTTACATGCCAGCCCGATTATTTTCTCGCTCTGTCTCCTATCAAAAAGAAAAATCCATTTGCAGAGTTCAGTCCTGCCTTTTTATTTTATTGTGGACTCACCTTTTTTTTTTATTGGAATTTTTCCTCCTTATCTCTTGTTTATCCTCTTTCTGTCCGTTGCAGCTGGAGATCACAAGGATTGTGTTCTTAGTCATGTTTTTTTTTAATCTCCTCTTAATAACCTCTGCTTTTTTATTTCTCATTGTATTGCGAAGTGAGCATAAGTGTGCACCGTTCTGTTTGTAATTCACAATCTACTAAGGCAGAGAGCTCCTGCCTGTGTATTTGTCATACAAACAGACACCAGATCCTGTCTGATTAAGCTCTACCACCTTTTTATTAAAAGCACAAAAAAGCCCCTTTGTTATTTTTGAGGCCCGCTGACTGTGCTGCTTGGCTGGAGTAGGCAGAGATGTCTGGGTGAGTCAACCATCAGACATAAGGGGCAACTCTGCCTGTGTTACGAGCATAGGCTCCAGGGTGGGCAGAGCGGCATGTAGCCCCTGGAGCTCCAGTCACCTCTCTGTCTGCAGAGCCTGTATTTATAGGCAACACACACACCCAAACACCCCCACACATGCAAACAGTTGTCTTTGCAACTTGTGTAAGCCTCGTGATTTCTTAGCTTGCTGCAGCCTGCTGTCCTTTCATTAGCTACTTTGACTCAACCTCTCTTTCTCTCCCTCTGTCTCTCTCTGTCACCCTAATGTTGATGCTTTGAGGTGAGTAGCGCAGTATATATGTGCCGTGACTCAGTGTCCTAAGGCCTAGAGGAATTAGTTAGGTTTGAGAACTAGTATTACTGCCACTGGCTGCTGAACTGATTTAAGACCCTGAGCACGGCTGCTGTTTATACACACACCCACACACCCACACACACACACACCCACATACACATACAGACACATACGTCGTCACTTGTCTGTCGTGAGTATAATGAATAGCTCTGTGTACCCAGTGCTGCACTGAAGAGGGGAGGTGATGGATAATGAGTATCAGAGCAGCGTAAAGGACACACTCTCATCCCATGAACACTCACATGAACACACACACGATAGCACTCACATGTGTGCCCAAACACACAACACACACAGACACAGATAACACACTGCCACAAAAAGGAAGGCCTGCTGGTATCTGATTAATTAGGCAGACCTGGGTTTAATCCTAGCAGTTGTTTCTCCTTACACACTTGTAGACACACACACACCACCAGAATTTCATGACAGTGTTTATACCAACTGTAGTACACTGCCTGGAGAGAGAATGAAGAGAAGGAGAATAAAGGTGTACAATGTAGATGGAAATGAATGTGCTGGGAAAAAAAGAGATATTGGAAGTAATTAGCAGATTTGTGAAACCTGACGTGTTTGTCACATTGTACAACAGTGCGTGTGTGTGTTTGTGCGTGTGTGTATGTGTGTGGCCAGAGGCTCCCCTTGTTTCTGGGAGCCCAGAGCATGCTGGGACAGCGGGGCAGTGTGTCTCTGACCTCTCCATCTGGAGCCTGCCTGGAGCTCACACAGGCTCACTGTGCTCAGTGTGTGTGTGTGTTTCTTGAAGGCAAAACCCTTCAGGCTGTGACTGTCCCTGAAACACTCACAAACAAGCTCATTTACTTTCCCCTTCTCTCTCTCCATACAGAGCAACCTTACACCTCTCATGACTCTGTTCAGTAGCAAAGCAGCATTTAAGCATAATATACAGTTTGTACAGTCAGCAGAAAGCACAGAGGATTGCTCTTCTTATTTCGATCCGCCATCTTGTACTGTCTTTCTTTCCCTCGCTGGCACAGCAACACACACAGTGCGTTTCTCCCCTCCCCCCACTCAGTGATGCAGATTACAGGCTTTGTGGTGTGTTGTCAGTGCGTGGCCAAGACTGTAGTAGCAGGTGTGTGCGGTGTTTGTGTGCATCAGTGGTTATTGTGTGTCTGTAAGTGTGGGGATGTTTGTGTGTGTTAGAGTGCACGTGTTGAGGCTTGTGCTAGTGTGTGCTGGTGGGGTGGCATATGGATGCAGGGTTGGCTGGGCACTGCTATGCACACCAGGTGTGAAATGGACTGTTTAATTAAGTGCTGATGTTGTTGTAATGCATGCTGGGAGGGAGGCGGGTGGAGGAGGCGGGGTGGGATGGGGTGAGGTGGGTGTGTTGGCGGGGTGGAGGAGAGCACCTTCTGCCTGGCAGGGCTGGGGGCTGGCTATGCTTGGCTGTTTTGGCAGTAGTGGAGGTGGTGGTGGCAGAGAATTGGTAGGGGCCATTTGGCAACACTAAAACATTTTTGTGTAGTGTTGTCTTCCTATCAAGGCTTAGTCATCCAGTGGGATTCACTTCTACGGCTGCTGGACCCTGCCATTGAATGAAAGAGCCTGCTGAAGAGCTGTGGTGACTTCTTTTGGCTTTTTGATTGGGTCGGTGGCTGAAGTGTAAGGTGCAGTCTGTGCAGAGACACTTGGCCACAGCCTCTGACCACAGCTTGGTTTGTTTGTTTGTTGCTGCTGTTGGTTGTATCTTGTGTATGTATGTGTGCGTGCGCATGTGTGGCTCAGCTTGAGCGGTCAAGTGTGGAGGCAGTCTGGGAGAGTGGGACTGGTAATAGAGGAGGCGATAGAGAAAGGAGCTTCACATTAATCACACACAGCTTGGGACTGAGACAGCACTTGATTTCTTTCTCTCTTTTCCTTGCTCTTTCCTTCTGTCTCTACCTCTTCTGTCCCTCTCCCCCGACCCCATCACAGCACCACACTCACACCTCTACACACCGAGCAAGTGACAATCAGTACAGTTAATGAAGTGCAGGTTGAGAGCTGATGAGCCAATTTTAGACTCTGGGGACAAAGGCTGTGCCTCACTCCTCCTCCTTCTCTGCCTCCTCTGGCTCCCTACAGGGCCAGCATGTATGACCATCTTCTCTCTGTAAAGATGGAAGGGGAGGAACATATGACAGAAATGACACCAGCTTGGTGCCAATCATATCCCTCATACATGATTATTCCCCTATCAGATGGCACCATGATGTGAGGGAGGGGCGGAGAAAGGGATTGGTATGGAAATTGGAGCAGGCGGGTTTAAAATGGACAAGAGGAAATCTAAAGGAGGGACGAAGGAAAGAGGCTTATGGATATGCATGACTTTCTGTGATTTAAACAGGAAGAAAAAGTGAAACATACATAGATGCACACATGCAAACATGTAAACACTCTCTCGGACGTTTCCCTGAGCCCTTACCAGCTTTAAGTGTTGTAAATGTGTTCATGAAAATTGTGCGTTGCGTCGGACAGATTTATGTCTGGTTGGCAGGCACTGTGTTTGAAGAACAGAAGGAAACGGAATTGGGGTGTATGAAGACGTGGTGGGCGGGTGGTGGTTGCGTGGGGTGTTGAGAGGAAGAGGAGGAGGAGGAGGAGGAATGGATAGAGGGATAATAGGTGTTTGTGTTTAGTGTGTATGTGTACGTGTCGAGGAAGGACGCCTAGAAATGTACACAGATGCTGCAAGAAGAAGCCGTTGGTATATGGCCCTTGTCTCTTTTATTTCCTTCTTCCCCTCACCTGTTTCTCTTCCTGCTCTCTTAATTATTTAGTCTGCCCTGCCTCTTCTACTGTCTGCTTTGCCTCTACATGGAAAAGGAGGAGGAAGAGGAGGAGATGGGAAGAGAGGGGGTGAGAGAAATAGATGGAGTGGAGGTCTGTTGCTTAGCAGTTCAGAATCACAGTGACCACCCCCACTCCTCTACTCTCTACCTCTTCCCTCCCTCCCTCCAGCCTTATTTGTTCCCCCATCCTTGCGTATGCATTTCGAGAGCGAGAGCGAGGGAGAGAGAGAGAGAGAGAGAGTGAGTGTGTGTGTGTGTGTGTGTGTGTGTGTGTCTCTGTGTGGTGAGTGAATAGGCTGTGACACTAGAGCTGTATTAAGTGTAGCTCCATTCCCCAGGCTGAGTGGGCTGCTATTGATTGGCCTAGTCTTGCACAGGAGAGTAATGGCTCTCAGAGGTGAGGAGGGTGGAGGGGAGGGGATTAGGCCACTAATTGCCATTGTGCAGACAAGATATGCCTCCCCCACCTCAATATTTCTAACCCTGTCCCCGCCACCCACTCACCCATCTGCACCCCAGATCTCTTTGCTTTCCTAGCTGCTATATCTCTCGCCTCACCTCGCACCTCTTTTGCACTCTCACTTGCAGTTTTTTCCCAGTCACTCCCCGTCTCCTATCATTTTTCATTTTCATGTCTCACCTCACATGTATTATCACCATTTTTTTCCACACACATCTTTTTTTCTTCTTGTCCCCCACCTCCCTTTGATGCTCCTACCTCCACTCACACATAGATTTTCAGATTCACCTGACTGCCATTATTGATTCTTTCCATTATTTAGTGGTATTAGTTAGAGTGAGGTGTTTAAAATCAGTCAATATCCTGACCGCACCTATCATGAGCTGACGTTGTCTGTTAGGTTATGTTGCCACGGAAACCAAAGTAGGAAAGAAATGGCAGTTGGGTATCTGTGGTTTTTGTTCTGATGGCGATAATTGGAGGGGAAGTAGACCTGAAACTGACCTGAGGTTTTTTTTTGTTATGTTTTTTTACGTGACTGCATGTAAGCAGGTTGATGCAAAAAGCGCACACACACACACACACACACACACACATCTCCTGCTGTCCTTGCTGCAGCACCGAAGTGTGTGTCCCACTGAGAGGGTTGTGACCCAGTTTGACTGTGTAATGCTGCGCTTGCTTTGAGCAAAGGAGACATACAGCACACTGTACTGTCAGGAGAAGAGGAGAGGAAGCAAGAGGAAATAGAGAGACAACACACAGGTTAAAATACAGGAGAGAGCAAAGAAAAATAAAGTAAAGAAGGGAACACAGAAGGACAGATAAAAGATAGAAGGGAAGAAACAGAGGACACGGTTGAGAAGAACAGGGTGTAGCCTGTATGGGAAGAGGTAAAGATGTAAGTTTGGAAAGATTAAAATCACAGTGACATACGTATGAGAATGGGAGCGTATCATATGCGAGCTTTGGAACTAAAGAGAGAGAAAGCGAGATGTGTGGAAAGCAAGGCATGTGACCAGACTGTGACCCTGCGCTACAGGGTTTCCCTGGAGGGCTTTGTTAATGTGGCACAGCTACAGCGCAGCAGAGAAGCTCATTGGGCCAGCTTTTCACCACCTGCTGTGTGTGTGTGTGTGGTGGAGGGGGAGTTCTGTGTGTGGCTGCAAGCGCCACTGACTGTATATACATTCAGTTTGGCCGTTCACTCCCAAGCAGTGTGTTCTTGTGGTGTGTGTGTGTGTGTGTGTGTCCTGCATGTCAAGGCTGTGTGACTCTCACAGGGCTGCTCATCCTGATCACTGTCACTTCATAATAGGGGCCCAGGGCCATCCATCTGGCACACTCAGTGTGTGTGTGCGCACATTATTTGTTGCCATTGTAGTGCTGCAGCCTTCTTTTTATCTGATTTTATTCCCTAGTGAAGGAGCTACAGGATCATACAGTACTGTTGTTACACTTGCCTTTTTATTAATAGAGCAAAGCACAGACTATTAGGTTGTTTTGTTCTTCTTTTCACTGTACTCATGTCACTTGTCTCCGTCTTTCTCCAGCTGCATCTTCCATCAGCAGTGAGTCCTCTCCAGTGTCCTCCCCAGCCACCAACCACAGCTCTCCAGTCAGTACTCCCAAGAGGGGTCCCCTCGGTCCGGGGCCTGTCCTGGTTCCCCCTGCGGGTCACAGCGTGCCAAACACTCCACCAGTAGTCACCATTGCTCCAACAAAGACTAGCAACGGCCTCTGGAGGAACGAGGGACGCCAGGTAATACCACATTCAAACACTGACCGTGGGCCTGCTCTCTTCCTTTATCGTACTTCTCTTTTTTCCTTTCAGTTGCTCTTTTTGAAGTCTCAGGTTCCAGTGTATTTTCTCTTTTTGTATTTTCCTTTCTTTATCTGGCTGTTAAAGCAACATTCAAATGTTCTCATTCTTCAGCTTGCCTGCTAGCACAAATATGCACACAGACAGGCTCTCGAGGGATTAATGGATTTTGTAGATGGCCTGTAACCCATAGTGTGGCAGAACGTACTTGACATATGTACATGTGACATAGCTGGCAGGTCTATGAATGTCTGCTTCCCCCACCACCGCCTCCCCATGGCTCCACGCGTTAAACAATGCCAGCTGCCACTGGGACGTTGAGGTGACAGCCTCAACGGCAGCTAACATCTGTGCTCTTCCAGCCCCCCTCCCACTTAGCCCTATTGCCCTTGGACCAGCCCCTCCCAAGTCCGTAGCCTTTAGCCTCCTAACCCCCCCCCCCCCC